CCATCAAGGTCATCTTCGTTGCTCTCTACACTCAGGTAGCTTACAAAGGGGATCCAACATAGACATGGAAGAGGAACAGCTCAACAGTCAAGAATATCTTCCTGACTCTCTACAACCATGACTCTGGGCAGCTTGCCAAAAAAAAAAAAAAAACCAACAGAAAACACAAAGATACAAAAAAAACTAAAAAAAAGAGTCCAAAAATGGCGTCAACTGAAACTGAAACACTGCGCAAGAGGTCCGCCACCTGCTTTGGCCCAAGGTCTGGGGAACAGCCAGACCTCGAGGGCTTGTTTCAATAACGTCAGAGTGGAGGGCATAGAAATCGCAGGGGAATGTTGCTCCAGAACGCAGGTGCCATGCAACTCTTTCATTGTAAACTGCTTTCCGATGCTTCAGCCAGCAAGCAGTATATATTATGCTGAATAAATAAATACTGACGTAAACTAATGTTGTGTGCATACTGTTTCTCCATAAAGACTTAAACCAAAGGTAAGTTCTGGAAGAAATACAAATATACATTTACTTGAAAGTAGGTGAAGGGGTTAAAGGCAAAGGATAAAAAGAACTAGGAGAGACAATAACTTAGTGACCTTGCCAAAAAGCTCCAGAAAGAAAATCCAAAATGAGCGACAAAGCATGTAACATCCTGCCTCTTTCACTTGTCTATTGGCAATCACTTGGTCTATAAATACCTAATCTATGAACAGGCAAAAGAAATGTGGTTTCCACTCACAGTAGCAGGTTCCTTTGAGAGGGTTGCCCTGGTACCGGTTCTCAACCTCGCACCTAGAAGAAAGAGCATTAACAATATTGGCTTCTAGTCATAATTCTCTCATGTACATTTACCCAGAAACTTTTATTTCTCTAGTTGACTTGTAGTTCCTAGGGACAATCTGAAGGAGCAGTGTTTTTTGGAGTAGATAAAGTCAGAGTTACCTTCCTTATATTGCTTAGGAGCCATAACTGCATTTCATGGATTATGTTCTTGAGAAACTTGATAGCTAGTTTAACTTGGTTTGCAAATCCCGTACAAGTTCAATTGCCTGTTCCAACCAGGCAGTCTAAAACCAGCTTGGTGAAGGCCACTGAATAAAGCTTTAAAAGCAGAAATAATCCAGCAAAACATGATCTGCATTTTGCTTTTTAAAAGTAATAACATTTATAGCTAAATGTTTGCCAACTTCAATTTGGGAGTCAAAATTAGCACTTTGGGAGTAGCACAGAAATTTCCATCCACATTTTTGTGTACTTTCTTCACCTACCTAAACATACTTATATTTACTTGTTCTAGAATATGTTTCCTACTACTAATTCTAATATGCTACAACATCATTTCTTTTCAGAGTGACCACAGTAGAGCAGAAAAAGTCTGCTATCTTAATTGTAATGAAATTCTCTGAAGCTGGAAAGGACCATCAACATTTATAAAACTTTGCAGAACAAAACAGATGGTCATTTAGATTTTTTATCTCCTCTCCAGCTAGCCAGCTGCCCTTTAAGTCAAGAGAGAGTTAGAATGAAGATCAAAGGCATCAAGGAAGACCTGTCTTAGCACACTCATTCTAAACATACACACATATCCAGTCCCCATTTTGTAACCTAGCCTTTTTTTCTTGCAATAAACCTGGCTAACAAGCCTTTGGGAGAATCTAGTTTTCTTGGTTACTATTAGGGGGCCTGACATAATACAATATCATCCTGTAAAATTTAGCTACACCACTAAGAGCAACAAAACCCATTCAGGTATGAGCAATTAATCCTGCACTGGTTACACTAGTCCCTCCTAGATCACTCTACAAGTGGGAAGACACCAAAGGCAATTAGGAAGCTAGCTTGGGCGAACAAAGAGAATACTTTCCGCTCCTTTCCCAGAAATCTCTGAATTAGGAAAAGGAATGGGAAACAGACCGATCTTTCAGCTCCAGCAAAATCATTTACACCACACAGCTAAGCCAACCGTATAGTTCTGTGGCTTACTCTCAATACTTTACAGTGAAGGAAGATGTAGAATTTCACAATAGAAGTCATATAATGTGCCCATAACTTCCTACGACTAAGGCTAACTGTATAACTTTTGCAGGTAGTACGGAGACTGTGTAGCCAACTTTTTAGTGGGGCATCTGGAAACAGTAGACTCTGACACGATGCTCTGGGCCTGGACTGTTTTCTTCTGTTGAAAAGTGAAAACATTGAGGGAGGGGTCATACATTAGTACAGATTGTGTCTGGACAGAACTGCGCCGGGCCACGTGCTATCACACTGCCATGGCCCCAAAGTGTTTCCAAAGCTGCCACTCACAGTTGGCATTCTTCTCCTTTGATTCCTTTTGTGGTGCAGAAGCACTTCCCCGTATTTGCATTGCAGATGGAAGCGTGGCCATTACACTTGCAGGCTGAAAGAGAAAAGCCGTTTCCCACAAAATAAATACAAACACTTCATTTAGGAGAAGTCAAACCAGGTGGGGCAGGTGGGGAGGCTTCCAAATGTGGTCTTCTTGGACCAAGTAATTCAGTCCTGTCGTTACCAAGGGTGTTTGACAAAACACCCTTGAGTGATACGATTAAGATGCACTGTGAATTTAATCTCTCGGCTCAAACAGATGGGCACCTTACCCCAAGGTGAAACTGGCATCGTTCTGCTAAGTGGGGAGTGAGATTTCCCACATTTGAGAGGCAGATTTAAGGTCATATAGAAGGTCACATATTGAGACAATGATCAGGAAGCTGTTAGACACCCCGTTCAATATTCTGATTTCCCTTGCTGTATCCACCATCTAAAAACACCCTGATCCGCTCTTGAGTGAAAGGCTTCTTCCAGCACAGATGCACGATCTTTCAACGTTAGTTAAATTCAAGAATGCTGATGCTATGGCTCTCAGAGAACTGCAGCACAGAAGCGTAGAAAACCCAGGGTGACTTGTGTACATGCTAGGGCTGTTTAGCAATCCAGATAGGAAAGGGGAAAGCTGACAATGATTCAGAGCATGTGTGGGTGGGCGCCTCGCAGCTTCCTTTAAGAAACTGCTAACAGGTCCAACACAAATTGCCGCGCAGCCATGGTGCAGAGAAAAAGAGAGACAGACAGCCTTTCGCTTCTTAGAAGCCATGACTTTGATTTTAAAAAGTTGTCAGCCTTTAGGCTGGAGAGATAAGCTTTTAAGTGCATAAGCAACACCTGCCAAAATCTCAGAAACAGTGGAGGCTATACTGCTAATGCTGGAAATCGTTTGCCCCCATGCGCATTATCAACAGGTGCATCTACACAGCCAAAGGCTAATCTGATGGATCTTTTAAATAAAAATAGCACACCCAGCCAATGTCCACACTGTTGATTCTGCTGATGGATGGATGGATGGATGGATGGATGGATGGATGGATGGATGGATGGATGGATGGA